GCAAGGGTTGGGACAGGCGTCTTTGTTGGGGGTAGCCACTCGGCGTATTGCCGCTGCTCAGCTTGGTAGGCAACTGCTTAACCTGCAATTCTTGCCTGGTTTGAACAACCCTACTGCAAGCACAGTTGCAAACCTGTTTATTCAGCGTGGCTTTACTCAGAATGCGTTCAACCAAATTCAATCAGCTAGCCTTCTTTTAAGAAATGTCCCAGTTCGGCCACCAAACTTAAGTCCATTCCAGATCTTTCTGGCTAACCAGGCTATTGAAAGTATAGTTCCTCGAACCTCGCCCTTTACCCTTGCTGTGAGACAGACTGTTCCTCAACTACAGGTCGCTCTGCGTTTGCTCCAACCCAGCTTAGTGCTTTCAGGCTACGAGCTTGTTCTGCGATCAACCATACCAGCTCTGGATGTCCTTAGTCTTTTCGCCAGTGCTAATATACCATCCGTTACCTCCGCAAACCTGCTGTCTTCTTTTATTCTGTCCGTTGCCTCTCTGTTAGTCCCACTAAGTAGCATCATAGACCTGACTATAGATGTTGGATTGGTTGTCAACAATGCTCCATCATTTGGAATCCAGCCAGGGTTTGGACAACCAGGCCGGGTGCCCAACACTCCTGCATTCTCATTTTTAAAGCAATTGGAAACAGGTACGTAAACCGAAATCAAACGGTGGTATAATGAAGGTATTTATCTAGCAAGCGTGACTGATATCCAGTGACACACGGGCGAATTTTTATTCGAAAAAAAAAACGAGTTTTACAATAAGATTCCTCTGCCTTGTTCCAAATATTTACACTTCCTTATTTGTTCAATCAAGTTTAGTTTGATATCTCTATAGGTAGATTTCGATTATAGGGATGGGCCGTAAGGATGCAAAGGCTTTGAGAAGCGCTTTTGAATAGTGTTTTGAATATCTGATGTGATAATGTCACAGGCAATAGACATTAAAGAACAGTTTAACAAGCGAGATCAAAGTCTGTTTTAAAGGTATTGAGGTTATTCTTCATCATCATTGCTCTTCGTCCCGCTTCTCGGCCTTTTGGCTAAGATCAAAGTGTAGTATCTGTTCTTATCAGCTTAATATCTGATACGTCTCCTACAGGTTATTCTTAAGCTTTGTTTATTTCGAATAATAGTATTTATCAATTCAAATCATATATCATCAATCTTGGTTACAAAGACTTTCATAATAAGTGCTCTTTAGCTCAGTTGGTCGGTTATTGTGAAAAGAAATACAATAGCAGGTTTCATTGAATTGTTATGACATTTTTCGCTTTAGAAAAATATATTGTTTACCTGTAGTTGCAATAAACTCACTTTGCAGTTGTCACTACAGCAAAGGGTGCCAAAGTCCATAAATCCAAATGAATGACCGTTGTATTTTTTTTACTTTACAGACATACAAGAGCTGACCAAACGCGAGAGTCCATATAAAGCAACGGTCAAGGCAATGATTGGTGGCTTGATAAGCATGTCAACTGTTACTGTCCTCCTCATCATCGGTCTGACGGCCATTGGGGTCTTGATCTGCCAAAACAATCCCGAATAGAACTGGACGCAATTGCAGATACAAAGCCGCTGGTGGACTGTGACGCCACTTCGAGAGTGAGACTCCCCAGGGAGATAGTTCGATCCAAATATCTGTGGGAATGGTCCCTAAATGACCGATTTGAGAAATCATGATATAAAATTTTACTGGCTAATGTAAGGATAAACCTTTGTAAATATACTGAATGTAAAATTTGCTGAGGATTAAAATCACGTTATGTAGGAAATCTTTGATTAAAGNGGAAATGGGGGTGGGACAACCTTTTTGACCAATGCTGTATATCCCATGTAAACGCCTTGAAATACATTTTTATACATTTTTAATTTATGAAATTTATTTTTGAGTGTCTTTGATGAATAAATAGTTCAAATGAGGCAGATTTATTGAGGTTTCCGTACGTCACGTTGTAGGGGGGGGGGGGGTATGTGTTGCAAGAACCAAAATATCTATCAATAAAATAGTTTTGTTTTAGTTAAGAATACATTAATAATGGTATAAATCAGATTTTTAATGAATGAAAACGAATGATAAATTTTCGTTTTAAAAGAAAGTAACAAGTTCAGTTTTAAACCATTGAGTTTGTTTGAACAATGATCTCTAGCTAGGGAGGGGTGGAAAATCCCCTATATAACACTATAAAAAAGAGGGGAATTCCCTTTAAAATGAATTGAGGCAAAATAAATGTTTTTCTTAGGAAAGTCCAATGGATTTGCTTTTTAATACATACAATAAACAAAACATTTCTAATATAAATTTTCGAAAAGACAGAGAGCAAATTAAATAAAATCAATCAGACGGTAAACACCGGCAAGCTTCAATGTCAATTTCACCAACTTGTTTATTTCAAACAGCGTTGCGCGCAAAGGATTGTGGGTAACATGAGGATCCAACTTGCCCCGAGTCTAGGGGGCCAACTAGCCCCGGGTGCATCTTTTTTATTTTAAAAGGATGGCAGCCATTTATGATGCTAGAATGAGCAACGATGATATATCTCTGTGAAACTTGAAACACTGAGCTTCAGTTTGATGCCCTATACATAAATTATATTTCATTAAAAGCCTATGAAAATAGATTTTTAATTCTCTTAAACAAAATTACTTTTAGGTGCAAAAATCGTTCATTTGGACTCACCGCTTAAGTAAAACTCTTTAACGTACGACATTTCCTTAGTATTGTAGGCTACGGTCACTTTACAAGAGTATGTGGCCATTTTTTTTACCTCGTAGTTACTTTTTCATAAATTTACGGGGGGCCAACTTACCCCGGGGTCCAACTAGCCCCGGTCTCCCCTACATATGTATAATTGTCTGTATCAAGGTACAAATATTAGATTATTTACAGTTGTTCTGGTACCGCATAAATGCATGTAATTCTTTTAATTGTAAATGTTGAGTTTGGCATATTTAAGTTGTCCCTATATTTCATAACATTGGGAAAACGATCTTTTCGGTGACCTTATGTCCTCTTTAGGACATGATTATAGAATTTTGTCGAAAAAAAAAAGATTTAAAAAATGTTCTAAAAACAATTCTCATTAAAAAAACAACTGACATGGTTTTCTTCTAGGTGTCCCACGCTTCATGATGGATCAACATTATCTTATGAGGTACATCACGTTCCTTGTGTTGTTTGGTAAGTTGAAATGTCTAGCGATTACTGTAAAAAACTTCTCTTTTCCCCTGAGTACCAAGAGAAGGGATTGGGAATAAAACGCAACTTGAATTGCTATGCTGTTGAAGTTTCAGTCTGTGATGGAATATGTATGAATCTTGGCAGACTACTAAGCCTAGGGGGCCTAGGATTTTACAGGCCTCAGTTTCACAAAAAACTAAGCCTGTTCCATGGCTTAGTTGAATAGGAGTTCCGTGAGAATGCCTTAACACTGTACCCGATAGGGTAAGACGTGCGCATGTGACCATGTAACGTCCGTTTAGTTCTTAGCCAGGGAACCCAACTAAAGCTTTTTTGTGAAACCGGAGCCACCTCTGAATAATCATTTTTATTGTTTTCTACATTTCTATATTGTTTTTGTCATGGCTTTTTGTACGCGGCATACTTCTGAGCAGGGTTTACCATCAATATTAAATGGCCAACTGTAAGAAGATAAAACGAATTTAAGTAAAATTGGATTGACAGGCTTGCCCAAGCCATGCGTCATCAATTTTGGTAATGATAAATGCTATATGATGTTAATATTTCAGGTAACTACTGAGGTATTGGTTTAAATCTTTCTTAAAATAAGATAAACTGTTTCTTTATTTATCTGTCCATTCCTCTTTTATTTCATTATTATCATTTATCATTTATAATTATTTATTTATCATTATTATTTATTTTAATTAAAATATATAATATATATATATATAACAAAGTCACAGTCACCTCAACCTGTCTATCTAAAAGAGGGTATCGAGAACTGTCAACTTTATTAACTTCACTCCATCACATTTACAGCAACTTATTCATCCTAGTGTCACCTGACCTTGCAACAAGTTAAGAAAATTCTCTAGTTCACTAAAGACACAAAACAACTGTCATTTTTACTTTAAAACACTTTTTTTTATTATTTTGATAAAGTTAGTTACAGTATTGATAAACAAAGTATCACGTTTTCAATAAATAATGTTTTAAATTACAATCCATGTCTGCAAGGTTGTGTCAATGACCAAAATACAACGTTGAGTCAACGTCACATTATGACGGTGTTTTGATGTGGCTGGATTTTATGTTGAATTTAGGTAGATCAACGGCAATTCAACGTATCAATCTGTTTTCAACGTTGATTGGCAGTGGGACTTAACCTGGCACATGGTCATTATAGTCACAATATTTATATCTGTGTAACTGTGTTATTTACTAATTTATTTCTTTATGTTATTGTAGGTCTTTTTTTCCTTCTTTGTACATTTGAATCACTCCAAATTGTGTACTGATGTATGCTTCATGATTTGTGTTTAAAGTAAATTTATAAACACACCAATTATATCTTTCCGCTTATTATATTTTATTAATAATTTAACTAGTACATCTTTTCATTATATAAAGATAATATATTTGTTCAGTCTCATACTTGCAACACAATAACTAATTAGAGAATGGTAATGCACCAATTGTATTATTGTTATTATTGATATTGATCAAGGTCATGATAATCTTTGTACCAGTAAAGAATTGAATTGAACTGAAATGAATATATCGGTATTTCTGGCTGATACCCATTTTATGCTAAACTAATTTGATAGTAGTATAATATGCCTACTCATAATAACATATATTATCATTTTCACAATATGCAAATGGTATATAAATTACATCCTTTAAGAAATGAGAAATGTTAATTTATACAATGAAAGACCCAGGTACTCTTTTATATTATGTAAATTATATATATATATATATATATATATATATATATATATATATATCATTTAGCTTGTAACATATAATACTAGTACGTGTACCCCCAATACAAGTGCATTTTATGCACTGAAAGGACTATGGCCTAAATATAATGAATACATATTCCTTCTAGTTATTAAGGATGTGCTAAGTTTGTATGCTGCTTGTGCAGTAGTTCCAACATCAGTTGGATCTACAGTAGGACCCATGTGTTGTTGGTGGGTCAATGTGACAAGATCTCAGGATGGCCATCAGCCTCCACCATTGCAAAATATTCACTGGTAAAATGTAACACGAGGTTCTTAGCTGCTTGTGTTATGATACACATGTATCAAAATCCTTGCTTATAAAATCTCAGTCATTGTCTAATTAACAGTTCTAAGGGTGTCTAGTTGTGCCAGCTCATCAATGTACATTTAAAACCTGCTACAGTGTAGCACCTCAGTGAAATGTCAGGGCCATTAAAGAAAAAAAGAAGAATGAGCAAATGTAATAAATGCTTGACACATAAAATGTGCTAGAAATAAATGCTTATAGTCTAACAGCACCACTTATCTAGGCACCAACTGAAGGAAATGTAAGAAACTTCAAAAAGAATCCACATAAAAATTCAAATATTTCTTGGGGAGAGGGGATGGGAGGGGGCAAGCGGAGATCTCACCCCCCACCCCCACCCTCACAGCCTATGGCCCTTGATGTTGAACTGGGACTAGAACCCAATAACACATGGTAAGTCCTAGACTGTTGTGAGCTAAAGAAATGAATAACACAGACCCAATATTCACATATAATAATAATAATAATAATAATAATAATAATAAATGTATACATGTATGTATTCCAGTGCATTGTCATACCCATGTTTCACACATCAGTGATTGAGGTACATCATCATCTCTTTGTTTATCCAATAAACAAATAAACATGTGCCCCTGGTTCATATGTTCCTTTGGGCCAGTGTTCTGCAGCTTATGTCCTTTGCTTGCTATCTCTTTGGAATCCATATTATACAACATTTCATCCTTCAGGTTTTTGCCCCTGAGCAAAAAGCCCTTGTTTAGGTCTTCCCTAGGACCGGCGTCCTCCACTAACCCACCCAAATTTGGACTTTGGTGTGGAATAAACTGTGTATTCTGCTGAAACCTTTCCCTGGTCAGATCTTCACTTATTCTGTTACTGATGCACTTTAAGTCCAGAGGAGCGGGGCGGTTTTTCTTGTATTTGGACTCCACTTTGTTAACACCTGACCTGTAAAGCAATGTGGAAAACAGTTATGATGAACTCTATGTAAAAAAAAATGTGCAAGAGATAATTTCACTTTGAATAAATTACAAGGAAAGACATCTATATAGCTGGGAAAGACATCTATATAAGTGAAATCATCCAAACTTATATTTCGGTGCACAGGGTAAACTATAATAATTATTATGACTATATTTTATAGCTTCTTGTGACTAAAAATTGTTGGATTGTGCAATGAAATGGAATAAACAATAGATTTTGTAAAAAAAGCTTAACATACCTTTGTTGAAGAGTTCTTGTTTGAATGGCTTGGAGTTTCTTGGCTGCTTGTTCTAATTGGGACCTGACATCCTGATTGCCATCACTGCAAATAAATAAATAAATAAACAAAATACACCAAAATACAAGGCAATCATGAAAATTTAGGGAAGAACAATCAATTCAATTTTTCCAGGCTTCAAACTTGTTGAAAAATAATCTTGTTTTTCAGGTATTATACGTACACCACTTAAAAAATAGTTAAAAAAACATTTTTTGGAGTTGTATCAAGATTTGAGCATCACAAAATTCTATATTAAAACCAACACTGGATTTTGAGAACATGCACAGAAGCATACAAGGACTGCATGCAGTGGTAATTAAGTGTCTGTATTCAACATAGTATATTTATTACAGTATCTTTAATGAAAGTAAATTCAGGCAAATTGGGCAGTGCAAGGACACAAAAAGATAAAAGAAATATATATGTCATTGAAATCTATTCAATGGAGCATTCTGCCTTAAACTTTTACCTACTTTGCATTCAACCTATAGTCTGAAATTGACACTGGATATAAAAATTACCAGAATCTATTTAAAGCAATATTTTGCCATAATAATTTGTCCACTTTCTGTCCTTAATTATTCATTTGGATTTCTGAGTAGATGACATACGGGTAATATGTAATTATTACCATACCTATTTGACATTCCATGCTCCTCCTCGGGGTAGACCACAAGAGAGCTTCTGAATGAGGAATTATTAGGTACAGGGCTCTGTGGCCCTGGCCACTTATCGATGGACTGGTCATTGCTTTGGTACGCAGAGTCTTCTGCCTGTTTCCAATGTCCAGTCAGGCTTGGACTCTGCACCTTACTGCTTCCAAACTTGTATCGAGGGGAGGAAAGAATCTGACCTTTCCTCTGTAGGGAAACCACCTTTGGTGTCAGAAGAATGGATTCGCTACATCCCAGACTGCCTTGCCTGTTTGAAGAGCTCTGCTGCTGTTGGCCATCAGGGGCTGGCATTACAAATTTTTGTCCCAAAGTTCCAGAGATGGGACTCCGGTTTGCCTGTTGGAGATGTTCTGGTGAACTTTTCACTTCAGAGACAGAGGATACAGAACTGAGATTGGGCTCATTTCTTTGTTGGTGTTGTGCAGGATCATGAAAGAAATGCTTATTCACTGCTTTCTCTGCTGCTCTCTTCAAGCTGAGCTTGTGTAAAGATTCCTGTCTTACTTTAGGTCTGGCACCCCCCACTGAATGATACCTTTGTCGCATTTTTTGTTGAGCATGAGGAGGAGGAGGGGAATGAGGAGGAGGTGAACGAGGATGAGGAAGTTCCCCACTACTTGTGCTAACCTGCTGGGCAACATCACTGTGAAGTGTGCTGGAACCCTCAGAAAAATGTCCAGAATCTGTTGCATTAGGCAACTGCAGCTCGTTTCTGTCCTGAGGCAGAGCAGGCATGGCATCGCAGTGAACTTTTTCCATATTGTGTAGAAATTTGTAAGTTCTCTCAACTCTGTTTGATCTTTTAGATTCATCTGAGAATCTGAACTGATTTGGGTCAGAATCACTTTTGAATAAGTGGTGATGGTTTGCTGAGGGCTCAATGTGGTGACGGGGAGACATCTTGGTCTCTTCTGAGCAGGCCAACCGGTCCAGTGAACCAATAACAGTGGCAGAAGGGGACGCAGTGCCCTCTTTATATCTTAACCTTCTATGGCTTTTCTTTCTTTTACCATTGGGCACTTTGGGTGGTTTATCACTTGATGTTGATCTAGCCTTGGAATTGTAATGCTTTCTATTTACATGTTTAATACAACAAGAATGGCAACGGTTCTGACAACATCTTTCATGATTAATAGATGCCTGGGATAGGTCAGAACTTGAAATTTGTTGTCTTTGTGACTGGGAAAAATAATTGAGCATATCATCTGCACTGCTGGAATGTTTCACACCACTTGTGATTCCCAGGGATTTCCTACTTTTAGGTTCAGATTTCTTAAAGTTATGATCTCCTAGAGAATATGAGGATCCATCATCACTATAGCAAGTCTGACATTTAAATGTTCTGTCATTTCTGGTGTTGCCACTATCTGAAAAGTTTGTGCTTTTTCCAAAGTCATCCATTTTGTTGCAAGCACGTTGATTAATGTCATCATATTCTGTGTTCCAACTCATACTAGATTGATGCCTACTTCTGTGACCATCACTTACTTGTAGGAAATTCATGTTGTCTTCCCTTGAACCTTGACTCATCCTGTGACCACATCGGCTTCTAATGGAGTCCGAAATATATTTTCTCACTTGCAATCGGCTTGTATCTGCCTCCCCATAACTGAAGGCATTCTCTTCACCATCACTTATTTCCTCTGGGACCTGGATGCTAATTTCATTTGGGATCTTACTTAAGAACTTGGGAGAAAGCATCACTTCATTCAGTGTGGCGCTGAAGCGTCGAAGCTGATCAGAAGTCACAGACGATGGCTCCACCTCAGTGATGCTTTCACCATGAAGACTATTATCAGCGGAGTGGCAATGGTTCTCACATTTTACAGAGCATTGCCGCATGGTGCGGAAACTTTGTACCCTGCGAGCACCCACAGGTGAAATTAAGCCACCTCGTTTTGAGGTGTGTCCTCCAAGGTTATTTCCCAATTTGCTGCTAGGACTCTCAGGGTGCAATAACTTTATGTGTCCACCTACTATGCCAACCAAGGGCCCTTCTGAGTCTTCTTTTGCACAGATGTGTAAAGAGCTGCCCAAACTGGGATTGGATGGTGTGTCTCCCATGCTGCCACTGTTGTATGCGGCATACAACCTGATAATATTGTAAAAAAAGGTGGACATGTATGGCATATACGCCAACATATTTTTACAACTTTTTTCAAAAAGCCATTTGTTATCATATGCTAATTATCCTCATGTTTAGTATTACATAGTAGAGCACTATGTATCTTAAAATTTTTTAAATATAAATCTAGCAATAGCTATAAGTATGATAATGGCTCTTTTCTTTCCAACAAATAAGATAAATCATATACTATATTAAGTGTTTTGTTATAATTATGTATAAAATAGATTATTCTTCTTTGTTTTAAAAAGTGAGATATATACCAATATCAGAATTAAAGCATATGTTTATGAGTGATTGTAAATGATGAATTTGGAAAAAAAGTGTCTAGAAATTTGTTGTGTTCATCAGTAGTTGCAGTATTTAGATAAGAGAAGACGGCACACCTTGCTGCTGCTCCCTTGTTTGTCTCATTTACAATAGGAGATGTAGGAATTGATGGAGTTGAAGGGGAGGTGACGACATCTTCTACATGGATGAGCACATGACTATTGGTCATAGTGTGGGTGTTACTTGCTGGGCTGGATGTTTCACTGCTTGGCAACTGGGCAGTGAGGGACACACAAGATGGGTCATTTATTTCATCTTCCTGAAAAAAAAAAAAAATATATATATATATATATATATATATATATATATATATATATATATATATAATAAACTTCATGAAGAGAAAATCCAACATTTCTTATCCTCTTGACGATGTTGAAACAAAGTCTATTTTTGAATGTAAATAACTGATTCATCCAATATTACTTGCATGTTTCATCTAAGTGTAAATTTGGAGCATAAAAATAATCAAGACACAAAGACATTGTTTATGTTTACAGTATTCATAAAACTATTCAAGTCAATTACAAACCACTACCACCAAATGATGACTTGATCACAACATTTAAGCTTTAAAATTGCAAAGAAAAGTATCCATATATAAACACATAAATAAATAAATAAATAAATAAATAAATAAATAAATAAAACCACTTACTGACTGGCATCTGCAATCTGATGAAATGTTCACTGTTTTCTTGCTGTTTTCAGGGGTACTGTCTTCCCATTTAAAGCCATTGTTGGTGTTGCCACTGTTGCTGGACAGTGTGTCCAAGTGCGATGGCAGTATGCACTCATATGCAGATGTCTTCTTGTTTGTTTCTAAAAAAAATCAACATATCAGCTATAATGACAGTAACCCATCTATTAAAGGATATATAGATAATAAAGATGTAGTCATTCAGAAGTACCCATATTGTGTTGAATGTGCTTTGGAGAGAATGCTGCTCATCTAAGACATTTGGCCATGTCACATCCAACAGCAATCTTAGCTCTTATTACCCAGTAGATTAATCAGTTCTATAGCCCAAACCTGTACATGCTCTGCCGTCTTATAGTATTATAAGTTTGCATTGTTCTGTTAAATCAGGTTTTACAGCCAGGATGCATTTAAGAGATATTTACTTTAACTTTGATGAACTCATCTACTACATATAATTTATTAAACCTCTTGCTGTTTCAAATGACTGATAAAATGCTGTATAATTGGGATACAGCTGCTTTAAGTTTCAATTGACAAATTTTGCAATATTTATCATATTATTGTTATTACAAAATTTAGTAAACAGCAAGACTAATTTGCAATATACATAGACAAAATTATAATAAATGTCCAAACTGCAAAAGACACAAATTAGTGTAATAATTGTACACATCTGATGCAAATTTTGCTCATTCCCTACCTGGCACTGTGGACTCTAATCCATAACCACAGCACTGATGCCAGCAATCCACAAACCTCTGCCTGAAGTAATAAAGGATACCACCCAATGCCATGCCAGCAAAAACTACCACAATTCCCAGCCAAAATGGCTGCTGCAGCAGACTATATGTTCTTTTTGTAGTTCGCAGCAAAGAACAGCTGTCACCTGGAGAAAATGAAAGAAAATAAAGAAAAAATTAAAACCAACCCAATAATTGAATAACCTACAAGTGTTGAAAAGTTTCATCCTTAAATGGGTAATATTAGGAAGTCAGCTTTATCAAAGTTTCTTTCTCTGACAGAACACGAACAATATTAACATCTTACAAGCCCTGAAAAAGACATTTGTAGAGAAATTTGACAAAGAAAGAATACGTTTAAAGAATAAAAACAGAATTTCCCAGCCCAGATATACATGTACATGCAAAAATTAATTATCAAATGCTTTTACAAATGACCAATTACTACACATACATGAGACAGACAGGACAGTTTTTTTTTTTTTTTTTTTTTTTTTTTTTTTT